AGGAAAGAAAGCAAAAAGCAGTGAATAAAAAATTTTAAAAAATATATAAAACAGAAAAGTTAAAAAATTAGTGTTAAGTTATTTTTAAGTTATTGTTACATTCTGTTATGTAAGTTAAGTTTTAGTATCATTTCCCTTCTCCCTCTCTTCCACCACCAATTTAAACCTCCACCATCATCTATCCTCAAAGGTAAAGTGCAAATAAAACTACATTTTTTTTTTATCAATTATTATTCTATTATGGTTATTTATACATTTACAACTACAAAACACATTTTCAGTGTTTTCCTTACTAAAGTTATTTTTTTTAATGTACTACTTAGCTTTAATTTGAGTGTGTTTTTCATGTTGGAATGGATTATTTGGTTTTACATGTAATCATATGGGGAAAAACGATTCACCTTACGACATTTTCATGATACGATCTCAGTTTCGGAATGGATTAATTTCGTATCCTGAGGTACTACTGTATTAATAGTATCAAATGTATATTATAATGGGAAAACATAAAACATACAGGAACTTTCTTCTGGGTAACCAGAACTGCAGTATCTTCGCCTTTAAGACCAATAGAAGTCAATCCACCTTGATTGATAGCCTTAAACGCATATTCTAAAAATAGGGTGATTCAACAAGAGTTGCAGGATTTATTTTGTCAATAAAAACTTCATTTTATCTCAAAATTCAATTTTCATTAGACCAATGTAATTCTGCGGGATGGAAAATTAGAAGTGGAAGACAATATCTGCAAGTGGCCACCTCTACTTTCCTCGCAAACTGTTAATCTTTTGGTGACATTTTTATGACATTATTCAAAATACTGAGCACTATTTTGCCTATGACTCATTGTATGTTGTCCTTCAGATGTTTCATAGTTTCCAGGTTGTCAGCTTATACTTCCTCTTTCAGAGAGCCCCAAAAGAAGTCCAACAGTGTAAAATCACAAGATCTGATTGAGATAATGCAACCCAGAAATTTCCCACTCAGTAACTGCAAATTTTCATGAGCTGTGTGACATGTACCATCCTGTTAGAACCACATGTCATTCATGAGATATCGTTGAGTTCTAGTTACAAAAAAGTTGGTGATTATGTCACATCATCATTCATCATTCACTGTGATTGCATTTTAGCCTTGTCTATAGATATAAAAATGAATGTATGTCTGTCTGTCTGTCCTTCATGCATTACTACACCATTTATCCAATTGCCATGAAACTTTGGGAAGTTGTTTAATACACTCCTGCAAAGGTTTCTGGCATAATACATTTATCCTACGATAGGTGGCGTGTGTGTATACAAGCATTTCATATATAAAGTTGACATGAAGAGCACATGTGCATAAGTTTGCTTTATTCGAACTCTTCGTCTTAATGTTCAATTTTATGTTTGAATTTATATTTATGAATGATTCTGGAAGATCCAGCTTATTTTTCAAATTTAGTAAACTTGAAGAAGAACACAGAAAGAGTTACAAAAACGTTTATTCATCACTTAATGGTACTATGTACTGGTTAGTGGTTGCAGTGAGTCTTAATTATCGTTATCACGGTGTGGTAAGCAGATATCTAAAAATTTTCTAATTAGTCTCAGAAGAGAAGGGACATTCTTGCACTCAATAAAACGGGTAAGATTGGTTATAATCTAATAATCTTAATCTTTGCTATCAATACTTTTTCCCGAGCAATGCTGGGTTCATCTGCTAGTTTATTTTCATAAACACTGCACAATACATATGCATTGTCCCCAGAACAAAGCTGTTTGTACAAAGTGGCTCGCAGACTCCCAGCAAAAATGTCACCAAATTCAAATTCTTCAACTCTTATTGAATCACCCTGTATAATATAAATGATTTAAAAATAAATATAAACCCTTACCTGAATGGCTTCATCATGATTATAATTTATTCTTTTCTTATATTTCTTTTCTAAATAACTATTTGCTTCTGCTTGTTTAACACCTACGCTGGTGGCTCGATAACCACAGTAGTAACCGGCTGGATCTGCCTTGTAGAGTTGAGGTTCTCCATCATAAGCAATCATCATTATGCCTACAAACATTAATATTTTACTACCAATTCCATTGAATTTTGTTAAAGTGAATCTTTAAATTTAAACTTACTACATCCTAGGGGTCTCATCTCTGCATTCTGCGTGTAAACCTGTGAAATGTCAGCAATTTTCTTGCACAGGACATCTATGGGAATGTCGCATCCATATTTATATTTCCAATTAGCTGCTTCGTAACGTGCTCTATGAACTTGAGACTGTCCATCAGCTATGAAGAGAATGTGGTACCATTTGAAAATTCAATTATTTTCTAACATAAGTGTATATTTATTTCTTTAATACCAACCTACTAAACCAGTCATTACACAGCCAATATTATCTGTCAGTTTATACATATGAGTTACACTTGATGGATTAAGTAGCTTATCCTAAAAAATAAATTTGTAACAATTAACTCAATTTAGAATTATCAAAATAACAATTTGGCAATGGCAATTTATATCTGTCAGTGTATTAATCATCTTTATGTACAAATTCAGTTTAATATATAACAGTTTTCATTTATTTATTCTTCTAAAGAAGAAAGAACCAGCACATGACCTGAAGCAACAATTTTATTTGTTTTCCAATGATGATATGCATTTCAAGTATGCATATCATCATTGGAAAAACTAATAAAGTTGTTGCATCAGGTCATACCCTGGTTGTGTCTTCTTTAGAAAAATAAATAAAGAATACTTACAGCATGGTTCTCTAAATTTAAAATATAATAGATTTCAAGTATAAAAATAAACAATAATCTAAATTTTCAGTTAACAATTATATACAGTAGTACCTCAGGATACAAATGCTCCAGCATACAAAATTTTAAGGATACGTCACAAAATTCAAACATATTTTTGCTCCACAGTATGAACAAAAACTCACCATACAACATTACATTAGTTTGCAGTGCCATTTTTTATTCACTTCTGTTCATTGGTCTCAGTCTGCATGCTTGCTTTGTCATGGAAGGATCTTGCTCGATAAAGGAAATCTTGAGATATTATCAGAAAGTGACCGATTTTATTGAAAAGAAACATCCCGAAAAAGTTCACACTGGCTGTATTGCTGCTCAGCCTAAGTCATTTTAGAAACATTTTAAAAAGTTGGCAAAGCCAAACCTCTTTGGATAGATATTTTACCAAGCAACCTCTATCCAGTGAAAATGCTGGTGGAAGTAAGGAAAGAAAGCAAAAAGCAGTGAATAAAAAATTTAAAAAGAATATAAAACAGAAAAGATAAAAAAATTAGTGTTGTTATTTTTAAGTTACATTATGTTATGTAAGTTTTAGTATCATTTCCCTTCACCCTCTCCTCCACCACCAGTTTACACCTCCACTGTCATCTCAAAGGTAAAGTGCAAATAAAACTACATTTTTTTTTTATCAATTATTATTCTATTATGGTTATTTATACATTTACAACTACAAAACACATTTTCAGTGTTTTCCTTACTAAAGTTATTTTTTTTAATGTACTACTTAGCTTTAATTTGAGTGTGTTTTTCATGTTGGAATGGATTATTTGGTTTTACATGTAATCATATGGGGAAAAACGATTCACCTTACGACATTTTCATGATACGATCTCAGTTTCGGAATGGATTAATTTCGTATCCTGAGGTACTACTGTATTAATAGTATCAAATGTATATTATAATGGGAAAACATAAAACATACAGGAACTTTCTTCTGGGTGACCAGAACTGCAGTATCTTCGCCTTTAAGACCAATAGAAGTCAATCCACCTTGATTGATAGCCTTAAACGCATATTCTAAAACATAAAATTTGTTTGTATTTATTTTTATTAAGAAATATATAAATTAAGCATTGAATTCTATAATAAATTATTATAAATAATCTAGTTTCTTTTATTTCTTATAAAATAAATAATAAGAAGTTAACGAAATCGGTTAATTATTCTATAAATATTTTTATAACAAATTTGATTCCACCTTCACACACAAATCTAATATTGAATACTTTTAGAACAAGTTTAAAAAATATAAAATACAGTAATAAAATAATACATGTACTTCTCTACTAAAAATTCTTTCTTTGATCCTTTCTAAATACAATACATCAATACTGTGATACATCATAGTATTGATGTATTGAGGATAAGATTAAGAGGATAAGAAAAATTAGTTAAGTGTCTCATGTAAATACCAAGAGAGATTTGGAGTATTAGATTAATGTGTAAATAGGAACAGTAATACAATAATTCACTCTTCAGCTATTCCACCAATTGTTATGTTTGTATAAAACAAATAAACTCTCCAAAAATTAGTTAAACAAGCTTTTTACTAATTCAGCAGTTGTAAAATCATTTTACATTGTTATGTATTACACATAACTATTAATGTATTCCATAATTTAATTATAATTTTACAAAATGTCTAACACCTAAGTAGATGCCAAATTTCCCATAGAAAGTTGTTCCAGGAGGCATACCCATGTTGCATTGTATTATCTGATCAATCTGATATAGCATCATCATATCATTGATTTAATCCTTTGTAAATGAAAATCGTATTCAATTAATTTGTGCTAAGAAGAAAATCGAGATTTTATCTTGTATTTTTTAATATTTTTTCTTCTTTAGTGAATTGTTGTTTATTAAAAATAATCATTAATTAGTGTTAAATCTCAAAGACCGATTTAAGTTATATCTTTATCAACATGATGAGGGTATACTTTCATCATTTTGTTCTTTTAGTTTTTCTTCCATTCTCATAAGCAGTAAGAAAGCCTACAAGACAGATAAGAGGGGGGAAACAAAGAAAGTGAAACAGGATTCAATGATATATTGAATCAAGATGGATAGTTCAGCTTCAATATATCAGTTGTTCTCTGAATAAACTGGACATGAATCTAATAAAATGGAAGAATAAATTCACTGCTTTGATCTTTGTCTATGTTCTTTGCTTAAGATTTGATTCTGCTTTGGCAAAAATGTATATTTGTCATGTGCTAACACAGATTATCATTTGAGAGAATGTACTGAAACCATTATGGCACACATTGTTATACTGAAATTTATCAATGCAGGTGTCTCCACTTAGTGCAATTTTGAGGTGATTCAATTGTCTTTGTCACTATTCATGTGCAGGAAAATCATCTTCCAGTTAGAATTGCTTCAAGTACTTTGGCAATAAGAGTACTGTCTTACTTTTGCCTGGTGATTCTGTTACAGCCAATCAACATGCAGCATCCGTAATTCCAAGCATTTGTAGCAAATTTTTATCCATCATCTTTGGCACTATATACAGCATAGTGTGGAAATTTCGAGAAGATGCAAAAAGATAGCAAATATTAGATTTCAAAAAATTAAATTTAAAAATATAAAACTTTACTTTATGTTGAAATTTTTGCTGCCATTCTAAAACATTTCCCTAATTTATTGGAAATTGTTTTCCATTTCGCATAAAGTGTGCAGTCGGGACGGCATAAAACTCCTCATTCAGAGCTCGAATCTTACTCATTGCCGCACATATCAGCTGGCATCCCACCCACCAAAAAGTACTCAAATGTATCATTAGCTTTTAGTTGCCTGTTCAGGTTGAGAGTTACGTTTACAATTTGTGTTTATATCACACTACATAATAGTCAGAAAACTTACTGCATGTTTAAATATTTAATAATATATACTAAGTTTGTAAAAAGAAATTGTGTAGATACATAGAAGCTGAATAAGGATCTAGAAAAGCCACTAGCAGTTCGTAAGCCACGGTTTGACCAGTGTAGATATGTTGTATTAATATGTTGCATAAATTTCCCCTAAAATTGAAATTCCCTACAGCATTAGTTTTTATGGAGCATGGTCAATTGAAGGGGTGAATAGAAGGGGAAGTCATGCTTTGATTTAACAGAATTCTCCACTTGTATCATGATTTACAAATAACATATTCAATTCAGATTGCTGGTAGAGATCAAGTGATATAATGGTCCAAATCTCCAGATTATTTAAAGTTGGAGCCTGCAAAACTTAAAGAAAAGATATTAAAAAAAATCTGAACTTTGTATAATTTAACAAATCGAACTTAAAATTGTATTAATTCATTAGCACAAATTACTGAGTCCTTCAATTCTTTTGTGACTTTCCTTCAGCTAAATCCTTTCAGATTTATCAACCATTTTCAGGAAAGACTGGCGTTTAAGCTTATGAAAATGGCAGAAATTAAAGCTTATTTTATAAATTAGAAACTATGCTTTCTTACCGACTTGATACAGTCGTCCTTCGGGTGAAAATATAGTTATATGACGATCGAACCCTGCACTGGTACCTCTCGCCATCTTGTTTTCGACAGACGAACAAGCACAGTCATTTCATACACACTCTGGTGGATGAAATATTTTAAAATAATAAATCTTTTAATATAATATTTATAATTAAGACATTAGTTTTAATAATACTTTATTATACATTTTTAATTATAAAATATTTAAAGAATTATAGACATTTATTTTTACAAATGCAGTACAGTCGACCCCCCATAACACTGTTGATAATTCCGTTTTATATGAATTCCATGTTGTACGAGTCACTTAGATTTTACAAATACGTGAGCCGTTCACAGCCCGGCACACGTATTTGTAAAATCTAAGTGATTCGTACAACATGGAATTCATATAAAACGGAATTATCAACAGTGTTATAGGTACTTCTTTTCTTTAAAAGTACCGGTACCCCTGTTCAACGCTATCTAGAGAGATATTTAGCAGCCAAGCGCTCCCAATATGGTCTCATGACATTACAGAAACATGCAAAAAACATTACTGTAAGATATAAAGTAATACCAAATTAATTCTCGGCAGCTTCACTTTTGGAAATTTCGGAGAAATTTCCAAAAGTGCTGAGAATCATTAATTTTAACGAAGGAATCTTGAAGAAAGAGAACGAAAAACCTAATTCTTGTTGCGCAAGATCATGCCCTGAGAACAAATTCAATTAATTAAAACACGAATTAAAAATTCAAATAATAATCCTAAGTGCAGTCTCTGCAAAGAGAATGAAGAAACTGTCGAACACATTATAAGCTGCTGTAAGAAAATTGCACAAATTGACTGCCTGTTTCTACATAACAAAGTAGCAACAACGATTCTTTGGAATCGTTGCAGAAAGTATGGCTTTAATTGCAACAAAACTTGACATGATCACAAAATAGAAAAAAATTTTGAAAATGAGGAAAAGAAAATACTTTGGCTTTCGAATAAGAAGGATAAATATCTGGTTCATTAAACACTAAACATTATATTAATATGAAAAAAACAAGATATGGATTATAGATATGGTAGTTCTAGGCGACAGAAGAGTGGGAAAAAATTAATATTATAGAAAGTTAATTAATAAATATCAAAACCTGCAAATTGAGGCTGAAAGATTTTGGAGGAAGACCGTCATGGTTCCAGTTATCGTTGAAGAACGAAGCCATTCCAAGGAATGTAAAGCAATACTCGAAAGCTAGAGCTTAATTAATGGAATCAACATCCATAAGGTACAGAAGGCTGCCATACCTGGAACAGCACATATTTTGTGCAAATACCTCCAAACATCCCAGGTTTCTCGGAGAAACTTGATGTTTAGGGGTCGAATTTAACCATTAATAGCCAAGAAGTGTGAATCATTTCAGCTTTCCATTACAGTTTATCACAGCGGTTCCCAAAGTGTGCGCCGCGGCGCCCTATGGAATCGCGAAATATAAAATGTTCATAATTTTACTTCCACTTTCAATTCAATGTGATAAGATGCGATATCTAGCAGACCTGATGCAAATCATTAACTCAGTAATAAATGTGGCACGTAGAATCGCAAAATGTAAAAAGCCTCATACCATCGCAGAAAAACTCATTCTACCGGCTGCTGTAGATATGGTGAACATTATTATCGGTGGGTCTGCTGGGTAGCAGCTTTCAAAAGTGCCTTTGTCCAATAACACTATCAATCGCAGAATACAGCACATAGCGCTGTTCAGTTATTGAAAAAATAGAAGGGAAGAAATTTGGACTGCAGCTGAATCAGAATACAGATAATAATAATAATAATAATGCTCACTTAATTTGCTATGTACAGTTTATAGATAGTAATAACATTGTAGAAGTCTTTCTCTTCTGTAAAAGTATCACTGCCGGTGCTAAGGTTTACGACTTGTTCGAGATCCTTGATATTTTTATTTCCGAAAATAATTTGGACTGGACCAAATGCATTGGTATCTTTACTGACGGTGCTCGTTTTATGTCTGGATGTTATGGAGGATTGCAAGCACTTTTTCGAAGCAAAGATCCTGATGAACCTGTGGACCCATTGCGATATTCATAGGGAAGCACACGCATCAAAATATCCGAGTCCTGCATCGAACCAGAATATGTAGTACACGTAGNTGCCGGTGCTAAGGTTTACGACTTGTTCGAGATCCTTGATATTTTTATTTCCGAAAATAATTTGGACTGGACCAAATGCATTGGTATCTTTACTGATGGTGCTCGTTCTATGTCCGGATGTTATGGAGGATTGCAAGCACTTTTTCGAAGCAAAGACCCTGATGCACTGTGAACCCATTGAGTTATTCATAGGGAAGCACACGCATCAAAATATCCGAGTCCTGCATCGAACCAGAATATGTAGTACATGTAGTAAACTTTATAAAAATGGCCAATGAAGGCAAGATTTTTCAAAAAACTACGTGAGGATGTGGAATCCGAGCACATGTCTTTGCTGTACTACAGCACTTCGAGAAAATACAAAACATCACCACGAGAGAGTAATGGGAGATAATGTTTTATCTCGTACGTTTGAACTACGACAGTAAATTTATATTTTTCTTAAAGAAGAAGACCACAAGTATGCCGAAAATTTTGTGAATGAAGAATTTTTGATAAAACTAGCATACTTATGTGATATTTTGAAAAGCTGAATGCTCTGAATTTCTCCCTGCAGGGAAGCAACATGCACCTTTTAAAGTCGGTTGAGAAAATTTCAGCTTTTATAAAAAAAAATTAAAACTATGGGAAAGGAAATTAAATGAAGACTGAGGAAAGGATGTTTCCCCTTGTTGCAACAGCAATGGTTATAATGAGAAACGAATAAATATTTAACTATAATTAGAAAATATTATTTAACTTCTGCATAATATAATTTATACGTTATTAAAATAAACAAATGCAGTACAGTACAGTACATAAATAACTGTTATGGCCTCCGAATAATATATCAAAAATTATAAAAATTCGCGCTAAGATTATTGAATAAAAATATGATTTGTACTCATTTTGAATTTTTACTCAAGCGGCCATTTGAAATTAAATAAAAAAAACTAATATAATGTAAAATAAATTTAATTAATCGTAATTGTTGCCAGCTATTTAAATAATAACTGGCAACACTTTCAAAATTTTCCGCCAGATAGTTGTCAAGGTGATGTGACGTGCCAACGTGTCTTCGTGCCATGGCAATGATCATGTGCTCATTTTCATTAATTATTTCGCTTCGTTTTGTATTCCGATAAGATGTTTATCAGTCAAGGAAGCTCCCTAATTCGAAAATGTCCAATAAACTAGTCAAAATTTGTTAAAATTGGTAAGTTGCTTTTAAATTTCCCTCTTTTTGACACTTGCTCGATGATATGTGATCGGAAGTAATGGACGATAACACCATAAATGGAGGGAAAAATACGAGTCAAGTGAATTACAATGACAATTGATTAAAAATTAATTGACACTTTCAAACTTCGTCGCCATTTAATGACTTATTATAATTGTTTACACGTAAGTAAGACAGTAAATTTGATGTGTTAAGGACAGAAGTTGAGCAGATTCTGGTGACAGATGTGGAGATGGAGACTAATAATTCACTAAAATAAATTTGTATAGCTTAATTATAATTCAGTATCATCTCTTTACAAACAGGATGTTAAACACAGAATGTAATTAGATGTAGCTGTATATAATGTATTGTGATTCACTCAGAGAGGGAGCAAGGGACCGAGGCACCCTCAAAAGAAAAGGGATAGAAATAAAAACACTACTAATGAATTAGCAGTCTCATAAGGAGGGAATATTAATTAATTCGGATTAAAAATTTCTTTTTTTGCACTGAAATAGGTTCTCCTGGGATTAAATCCTGAGTGCATCATTGATGGTGACACGGTGGGTTGTTGATGCTTTATGAGGATTGCAAATTATCTCTGGATGAATAAACAATATTATGCAAAGGATGCAGTCATTTATAACATAACATATATTGCAACATCTGAATTTTTTCTTGCATTTTGCTGTTGGTTTGCACACCTGTCAACTGGGTAGTTATGCAATGAGATGCCGGCTTGTTATCTAGGTATAAATTTAATTTGGATATACATAGTACAGGTGGGACCATCTCCAAGCTGGCTGATCTCATTTTAGAACAGGTGCACTGTAATTATCAAATTGTGGCTTACATATAGTTTTAATGTGTTGACAGTTCGCAGTGACAAATTAATCATTTGTGCATTTATTGGGCTGCAATTTTAAAATATTGTAGACCTGTAAATTACCACCGTTGTCAGTCTGTCTTTCCGTAATCTTGAGAACGGAGTTAGATGATAAAATCCGAGATCAGATATGGAAACCTTAGGGGCAGGAGGCCCCAAATAAGTATATACAACTTTGGATGCAAACCAGAAGTCACATTATTTCAATTCAAAACTTTTCTCCTGAAAGCAGTTAATAGAAGATGGGCTCAAATCTATTGTTAAAGGGAAGTATGATGTACAGGGGCAGGACACTATGGTACTAATTTGAGGTGGAGAGTATATATTTTAAGTTAAATAAATTAAAAATTGCAGACCGGCATTATGACAATGTTAAAATTTGTTTATTTTTTGTTAAATGAAATTTTCACATTAGAAAATTTTATGGTTTTGGTAACATTGTTATTAACTTCACAAAAATAAAAAAAATGATAAAATTCTTTCAAGTTTGTCCTCAAAATATAATGTATTCGAAATAATTATTTATGAATGTAAAATTCAGAAACATCCTGCTATAGTCTAAACCTTGATACATTTACATCATGTAAAAATCACATATTGTTATATGCAGCTAATTAGATTCTCAGAGTATAACATCCTGTTTGTAAGGAGATTATACCGAATATTATATTTTATAATAATATTATATAATATATNAAAGTAAACCTTGAGGTAGTATTGTTGTAAATGAATTTGTGAGCTCTCTCTTAGCGTATATTTTAATTGAATCCATATTTTCTCTCAATTGCTTGTTTGAATTATTTAATTATATCAATTTTGTATACTTTTGTTTATTATAGTTTATTAAATTCTTTTATTTGTGTGTTAAAGAAATGTCTCATCTTTGTCTGAATCAAATCCATATTATCTCCATACGCGTGTTAATCTGCGTATCTAAATTCGATTAACTGGTGTCGGGATCCTGACGTAGGAATGAAGAATTGTGAAATCCTTCAGTTCTGCTCTAGATATATCCAACTGTAAGTCCCTCCGCCCTCGAATTTCCTCAAATTAGGAAAAAGCCATTCTTATAGACGACCCGAGAACTAGTTTCAACAACTAGCCGCTGAGTAAGTGATACACGAGTAATAAACTACTCCGTACCCCCAACTAGAATCTCACACTTATAAAGGAATACGTTGTGCTACATGAGCCTTCCCCTTTGGCTGCCATAATACTGAAGAATACTAGGATCCCGTCTTTCTACCACAGAAATTTAAGCTCAACTAGGGTTGCCTGTGCCATTGTTGGAGCAGGCCAAGATCGCTTTATAGTTGTTAGTGTTTGTTTTGCAATAAATAATGACCTTGTTCAACTAGATACCATACTGGATGCCCTCCCGAATGAACAGATTATAATCGGAGGTGACATCAACGCTCACTCCCAGCTGTGGGACGATCCTGACAATGATGATTGTGCAGATGAGTTCTTGTCAACTCAAGGGGACTACACGTTATTAATGACCCAGGGTCCCTGCCCACTTTTGAAGCCACAATTGACAAGAGCTAGGTGGATGTTACCTGTTGCAACGGCCGGGCACTTAGGAAAATTACTGGCTGGAAGGTTTCTGGAAAATCTAGTCTTAGTGACCATGCCTATATATTCTATCAGCTTGGAACGCAGTGCCAAATTGAACAAACATCTGAGAAATACGATACCAAGAGAGGCAACTGGACTTTGTTTCAGGTGGCGTTGGTGGAGGGAGTAAATAACCTCCAACTTACTGATATAAACAGTCATATTGCAGCCTAAAACAAAGTCAACACTTTCAATGATCTACTAGAAGAGGTATGCAATAAGTATATCCCTAAGAGCTCTCTGCCCTTAGGAGTGAGAATAATTGCCTTAGGCAGAGGTACCAAAGAGCTAGGGATGTAAGTGAGAGGAGTACAAAGTATGAACAGTACCAGCAGCATGAAAGATGGTATAAAGCAGCCATAAAAGACACAAAACTGTCTTCATGGAAGGAGTTTTGTATTTTGTACAGAAATCTCCAATAAACCTTGGAGCTACATATACAAAAGCTGCACAAATAAGTTGAAAGCACCTGGCCTTCTTAGGAGTGTGAGAACAACTGATGGATATACTGCAGACGCAGGCAGTACAATTCATGCACTAATGGATCTGTTCTTTCCAGCAGACTTACCAGAGGAAGATCTTCCCAAGCATAAAAGAGTGCGAAGTGAAATAAACACAGAGTACCAAATGGATAACGCACCCAACTTCACTTATGCCAAAGTCGAAGATGTCTTAAAAGGGGGAGAGCCCCAGGAATAGATGGACTAACAACTGAAATTATTCAAAAAATCTGGTCTATGATCTCAGGGGACATCCTCAGAGTCTTCAATGTTTGTCCAGAACATGGAATTTTCCCAGATAAATGGAAGAAAGCAAAGCTTGTTATCATAACTAAAAGTCCAGATGCTGATAGAGCAGAACCTGGGAGTTATAGGCCTATAAACCTACTCCCAGTGATGGGCAAGATTTTGGATTATCTTATAGTGCAAAGGCTAACTTATAAAGTGGTTAAGGAACAAGCCCTTAGCCCTAAACAATATATGGCTTTTTGCCAGCAAAGTCCACTGAAGATGTTATCAACTTGGTAGTGAATGATGGCAAATAGACCGTAAGAGAGTACAAGTATTGTTGCCTGCTGAGCCTCGACATCAGAGGAGCATTTGATCATGCCTGGTGGTCCCAAGTCCTTTACAATCTCTGGCTCAGTGTCCAAAGAATATATAAAGGCTTATAGAAAGCTATTTTACAAACAGAACTGTCAGTTACATTAACAGTGGCATTAACATTACTCAGACCATGAACAGAGGACGCCCTCAAGGGTCTAACTCTGGGTCGCTTTTTTGGAACCTACTTTACAATAGTTTCTTGCTTCATGAAAAGGATGCAATAGAATATGCATATGCTGATGACACCATTCTTCTATTTGGGGCCCACTCTCAGCAAGAGATCGAGACTAAAGAAACTAACCTTCTTACAGAGATTGTAGCTATTGGAGAGAAGTACAAGCTAGAGTTCAACCCCAAGAAAACCCAAGGAATTATATTCCATAGGACAGGCGAGACAGATCTATATAAACAAGTGCCAACCATAAAGATGAACAGTGAGTCTATTAAGATAGTGCCATCAACGAGGTATCTAGATGTTATTCTAGATAAGAACCTCAATTGGAATGATCATATCCAAATGTTAAAAACCAGAAGCAATTTCATATTCTACAATTTAGCAAAAGTTGATAAGGCAAACTCGGGATTGGATTCTGAAGCAGTGAAACAGATCTATGAGGTGGTGATTATCCCAAAAGTAACCTATGCAGCAGCTGCGTGGCACGCGGCTGCAGACAAGGTTCAGAATAAAAGAACACTTGTCCACTCAAAGAAGTGCTATCATTTGAATAGCAAAAACATTTCAGACTATATCAACAGAGACCCTACTTGTTATCTGTGGGGTACCTCCTATAGACTTAGTGATACAAGAAAAGGCTCAAAACTATAAAATTCGGAAAGGTCTAACAATTAGAATGGGTGGCACCATCTTCCGGCTGGCTCCTACTGGACTAAAACAAACATGAAAGATCTTCCTAGCCAATCAGAAAGGATTAGGATAAAACAGCAACTGCACACCAGGTTGTGTAAAATAAATAAATAAATTCGGATTGGAAAGATTAATTTCTATATACATCGGTTAAAGGTTCAAGTAGGTCTTATTTATTTTATAGAATATGGAGTTTATATCCAATACTAAACTAGTTATTGGAGTTTATTTATATTTTGAAAGTATTTTTAATGAAACTAATGGTATGGGAAAAGAATTGCATGCTGCTAATATAGTATCTTGTGAATATTAACAGTGGTGTTCATTTTTTAATCATCTAAAAATTGAGTGTTAAATAGTTCATTAAATTCAAGTTTATGTAATCCCTGTATGTTCTTTAAGGAATGATTCCTTACTAGAATAATAAGTATATTGAGTAATTATTCTGAAAAATAATTAAAAGAAGAGTAGGAATGACACTTCAGTTTTTAGATTGTTAGTGATCAGTCAGAAATGGAGA